ACACTAACCGGGACGGGGGAGGGGAAACACACTGACCTGGTCGTGGGGGGGAACACACTGACCTGGGCGTGGGAACCTCAATCTCGTAGAGACGGATGCTGGTGTCAGCTTTGCCCAGAGAGTTGGTGGAAATGCACTTGTACTGTCCAGCATCGTCCTTAGTGAAATTCTTGATGACCAGCTTCATGGTCACTCGGTACGAGTCTTTCTCCTCGTTCAGCTTGTACTTCCTCCTGGTGAGGAACAACGAGAGGTGAGGGAGTGATCACTGAGAGGTGACGGGGAAGAGGGGGAGGTGGGGAGGACAAGTCGTGATCACTGAGAGGTGACGGGGAAGAGGGGGAGGTGGGGAGGACAAGTCGTGATCACTGAGAGGTGACGGGGAAGAGGGGGAGGTGGGGAGGACAAGTCGTGATCACTGAGAGGTGACGGGGAAGAGGGGGAGGTGGGGAGGACAAGTCGTGATCACTGAGAGGTGACGGGGAAGAGGGGGAGGTGGGGGGACAAGTCGTGATCATTGAGAGGTGACGGGGAAGAGGGGGAGGTGGGGAGGACAAGTCGTGATCATTGAGAGGTGACGGGGAAGAGGGGGAGGTGGGGAGGACAAGTCGTGATCACTGAGAGGTGACGGGGGGAAGAGAAGAAGAATAACAGACAACAGTGTTGCATACCCCTCTCCTTCCCTCCCAGAAGCATAAGGGAGGAGGGGAAAAATGAAGGAAGGAAGAAAGGAAGCAAGAAAGGAAGGAAGGAAGGAAGGAGGACAGGAAATAACTGCAGAAACTTAAAAAAAAAGAGATAAACGAAAATCATTTATATAAATTAGATCATTCTATAGATAGCAATAAAGGATAAAGCGAGGGGATAACAATAAGGGATAAAAACAGGTACACAGGAATAAGAGATAAAACAAGAAGTCAGGAATAATGAATGAGAGAACTGAGAAGGAAATGTGAGACATGAGTTAAGAATAATCCAGTGAGGAACCTTCAGTGTGACAAGAATGTTACCTACGTTAATTATACTGTGTAAAAAAAATAAAAAAAAACAGCAAAAATAATAATAATATTACAGTTATTATTATTATCATTATTATTAATTATTATTATTATTATTATTATTATTATTATTATTATTATTATTATTATTATTATTATTATATCATCATCATCATCATCATCATATCATCATCATCATCATCATCATCATCATCATCATCATCATCATCATCATCATCATCATCATCATGATGATGATGATGATGATGATGATCATCATCATCATCATCATCATCATCATCATCATCATCAAATCATCATCTATCATCACATCATCATCATCATCATCATCATCATCATCATGATGATGATGAGATGATGATGATGTGATGATGATGATGATGATGATATGATCATCATCATCATCATCATCATCATCATCATCATCATCATCATCATCATCATCATCATCATCATCATCATCACATCATTATCATCATCATCAATCGTGAGATGATGATGAGAGAGATGATGATGATCAATCATCATCATCATCATCATCATCATCAATCATCACATCACAATCATCATCATCATCATCATCATCATCATCATCATCATCATCATCATCATCATCATCATCATCAATATTATTAGCAACGCTTAATAAAGTAATCACAAGACATCCTTTACAACATAACAGTGACAGCAACATCAGTGTCACCATTTTTGTAAAGCACAAACACACACACACACGAACAGTGACTCGACCCCTGCAACCACAAATAGGTGAGCACACACACGGGGGGGGGGGTAAAAAAGTATAAATACAAAACGAAGAAAAAAATTCCCCATACCAGGAAAATTCTGTCCGCAATTGGCTTGTATTTCCAGCGTTGAATTAGATGAGTTGAAAAAACCAGGGCAAGCAGGCAATTTCTCTCCACAAAGCACTGGTAACGAGGCTAGCCACTCCACTCAATAAGCATATTTTCCCCTCAAACACTCCACTCAGTGAGCCTATTAGGCAGCCTTTGCCTCCATTACCACTCAGGGAGCGTATTAGAGCCCTGTCACCCTTCCCACTCAGCGAGCGTATTAAAGCTCTGTCACCTTTCCCACTCAGTGAGCATCTTAAAGCTCTGTCACCCTTCCCACTCAGTGAGCATCTTAAAGCTCTGTCACCTTTCCCACTCAGTGAGCATCTTAAAGCTATGTCACCTTTCCCACTCAGCGAGCGTATTAAAGCTCTGACATCTTTCCTACGCAGTGAGCATCTTAAAGCTCTGTCACCTTTTCCATTCAGCGAGTATGTTAAAGCTGTCTCCTTTTTCAGTCAGTGAGCATATTAACTTTATTACACTTTCCGCTCACTAAGCGTAATAAAGTTACCCTTTCCCACTCAGTGAGTGTGTTAGTCATGCTGTCATTCCCACTCAATGAGCATTATATGACTGCCATCCATTCCACTTAGTGAGTATTTTAAATTGCCACTCAGGTTGCGTGAGTGCCAATTCTGATACCAAGGTAATGACTAGTTGTCCAGTGTGAAAAAAAATTATTATTATTATTACGTGAGCAAATCACCTACAGGAGACTTAGAGGGCATTACATGAATTGTTACCTGAAAGTAATTTGGGTGAGGTAAGTGGGATTTAGTCACAGTAGATCACTGAACTGTCACTCCCTCGACTACCCATTTTTTCACCACTCTCACAAAAAAGCTAAACCTGACATTAAATTAATAATTATAATATTAAAACCAGCTACTCTGGTAATTAAAGTTGTGTGGACTGTATAGGATTAGGCTTGCTGGCTACACAAAATATACACTTACCATTTAATTACTGTAGATGGATCATACCTAGACCCTACACTGACCAGCTAGTGATCTAAATTCAAGGACTAATGGTGCACTTCCCTGTCAGTGATGTTCTGCCATTCCTGCAATTCTTAAGGTCCCGCAAATTTCCTGTCCCAATTTGTAGGCAGGGGACATTAACAAGGGTTCCTAATTATAAATTCAGGCCGAAAATCCCCAATTTGGCTCGGACGATGCCGAATTATTAGCAGAATTTCCCACGACAACCAGTGTTCACACATTGCAAATGGCGTCCCTCTTCTCAGGCGTCACTCAGCAGCTGCTCTACCTTCCCCTCACTCGAAATTTCTCGAAATGGTCAAATCAGCATCACATTTTATTACACAGTTATTGAGTGAATATCAAAATGGTATACAATACCGAGAGGTTGGTAGGTAAGACACATAGGCAACAGTTAGGCAACTTTATTCCGAAAAGTTTCGCCTAGGCTTTTTTAGTAGAGTACAGAAAGTATGTGAAGACGATATAATCAGTCCATCGCCCTTGATTTGAGGATGTCAGTCCCTCAGCCTGGAGAAGAATTCTGTTCCATAGTCTGAACCAATATTGTTTCAGACTATGGAACAGAACTCTTCTATAGGCTGAGGAACTGACAACCTCAAATCAAGGGTGATGGACTGATACATCGTCTTCACATCTCTACCGCTCCTGCCTACTTTCTGTACTCGACTGAAGAAGCCTACTGTGTAGGCGAAACGTTTCAGAATAATCTTTCGTAACTGTTGCTTATGCGTCTTACCTGCACAACCATTGTATTGTTCAAATTTACCCATGCTGAATTTAGGAAAATTCAAATTTTTCCACATCGAGGTAAGGACTGAACACCAAGTTACTTCTTAGATCACTTAAGTGGGGTGATTCTTTATATATATATATATATATATATATATATATATATATATATATATATATATATATATATATATATATATATATATATATATATATATATATATATATATATATATATATATATATTTATTTATTTTTTTTTTATTTTTTTATTTTTTTATTTACAACCATTATCGTCATTCTTATCCTCATCTTCTCTTAATGTTCATTTTTTTGCTTTTCCTCCGCACTTTACCATTCTTGATACTTTCTTCCCTGGCTTCTTTTTCTTATCCATCCACTTCCCTCTTCTTATTCTCCTTCACTCTCCTTTCCCCATGATATCTCACCCCACCATTTTAAATCTTGAGATTCTCTCTCTCTCTCTCTCTCTCTCTCTCTCTTCCTTTCCCTCCCATCCACATCCACTATCCCTCACCCCTCTCCTCCTATATGTCCCATATCCCTTACTATCCTTCACCCAGTAACTATCCCATTCCCCACTCACTCCCATATCTCCCCCACCCCCCACCATTCCTCAGCCCTGCACAACCTGTCTCTCACTCTTACTTTCTCTTCCATTATCTCTCATCCCCCATCGACTCTCACGCATCCCTCGGACTCTCTCTCACTTCCTTTTCAGCTGTCTCTCATCATCTCTCACCCATTATCTCACCCGTTGAGGATGATCTCTCCGTTCTCTCTCTCCCAGTAGTTGACGGCCATGGGAAAGGCTTCTACGTGGCACTGTATCTCAACGTTGGTCTCTAAGGGTGACCCGATCAGCTGGTTGTCTGCCTTCACCACTGGAGAGACTGTGGGAGGGAAGGGAGAGATGTTAGTGGTGGAGAGATTGTAGGAGGGAAGGGAGAGACATTAGTGGTGGAGAGATTGTCGGAGGGAAGGGAGAGATGTTAGTGGTGGAGAGATTGTGGGAAGGAACTTAGAAGAGGTCAGTGGAGACATTGTGGGAGGGAGGGAGGGTAGTGCTGGAAAGACTATGGGAGAGAAGTGAGGAGAGAGAGGTTTGTGATGGGGAGGGTTTGCGGGGGGGGGGGGCAGGAGGGAGATGAGAGGAGACATTATCTATCTATCTATATATCTATCTCTTTATATATATTTTTTTCTCTCTCTCACTCTCTGTCTCTTTCTGTCTCTCTCTCATGTACTTACAGTTAACATTAACGATGATTCTCTTGCTGACAGAAGGCGGCACCTTGTTGCTAGCGATGCAGAGGTAGGCTCCCATCTGTCTCCTGGAGACGTTCTCCAGAGTCAGGTTGCTTCCAGGCACCGCCTCAAAGGCTGTGGAGGAGACACCTGGAGTTATGGACGAGAGTCACACTTGGAGTTATGGAGAAGTCATACGTGGAGTTATGGAAGACATATATACGTGGAGTTATTGAGGAGAGAAAGTCTCCGAGGCTCCTGTACACTCCTGTAAGTCCACCAGACTCTTCTTTCCTTCAGCGCTACTCTCTCTCTCTCTCTCTCTCTCTCTCTCTCTCTCTCTCTCTCTCTCTCTCTCTCTCTCTCTCTCTCTCTCTCTCTCCTCTCTCTCTCTCTCTCTCTCTCTCTCTCTCTCTCTTTCTCTCTCATTCTCTCTCTCCGCCTCTCTCTCTCGCCTTTCATCCTCCAGAATCTCCTCCCAGGCTATTCTTTCATTTCCATGTTTATTTCTCTCCCATATTTCCAGCTATTGCTTCTTTCCCCATAAATACCTTTCCTTCCAGTCTCCTTGAATTAGAACATTCCTTCCCTCTCCTTATATCCCAATCCCTCCCTCTCCGTATCTCCTCCTCCTCTTCTTCTTCCTCCCTTCGCTCATCCGTCTCTTCTCCTTTTCTCCCTCCATTCTCCCCGTCTCGCTGCACTCCTCTTCTTCTCTCCACCTTCTCCTCCTTATGTTTACGTTCGTGTAGTCTAGACGTCTGCATCCGGATCCCTTATCGTCTCTTCCCGCCTTCCCTCACGATATTTATGTCCTCCAGAAAATCTGCCCCGAGATATTTCCTCTGGGGAGAAGAGTAACAGTATGCACTCTGGGGAGACACTGTTATATTCACTCTGGGGTGACACTGTAATATTCACTCTGGAGAGACACTGTGATATTCACTCTAGGAAGACACTGTGATATTCACTCTGGGGAGACACTGTGGTATTCACTCTGGGGAGACACTGTGATATTCACTCTGGGGAGGAACTGTAATATTCACTCTGGGGAGACACTATAATATTCACTCTGGGGAGACACTGTGATATTCACTCTGGGGAGACACTGTGATATTCACTCTGGGGAGACACTGTGATATTCACTCTGGGGAGGAACTGTAATATTCACTCTGGGGAGACACTGTAATATTCACTCTGGAGAGACACTAATGTTCACTCTGGGGAGACACTGTAATATTCACCCTGGGGAGACACTGTAATATTCACTCTGGGGAGATACTAATACCCACACCAGGACGTTTCTTAAGGCTTTTCCATTGTAATTTAGGCCTTTGTGACACTGACGGTTTGAACTCCATCCACTAACTTGTTCCCGAGGTTGCGGGAGGCTACCTCTAATCTCTTATGGTGGCAAGAAGACGCCATCCAGACTGTCTCCTTTCACACTGCTCTGAGAAGCACCATCCCAATACTATCCACTCCTAGAGACACCAATACAAATCAAATCGCAAGGTAACTATTCATTTGCAGATTTTCCACTCTGACGCACCACCGCAGTTTCCTCACAGTAACTATCCACCACCGGACTATCCGCTCACAGATATACCACCAAACGCCCATGACAGTAACTATCCACCACCACACTACTTACTCTTGGATCCATCTCTGCCGGAGCTCTTGATGACGATGCCTCTTCCATCTTCCCTTTTCCACTTAATCTCCGGGGTGGGGTAGCCCTCAGCCACACATCTCAGGTTAACCGTATCTCCCTCGTTGATGGTCGCATCTGAAGACGTCAGCTCGTTGATGATGTCAGGAGGCACTGTGGCAGATGAAGACAGGTCAGTGAAAGGGAGATTAGCCACTGTGTATCAGGTCAAGGGTCAGGGAGACACGTGAGGATGTATAGGTGAAGTGTTGCGGAAGAGTGAGGGAAGGGAGGAAGAGAGAAGAGAGGAGTGAGGAGGCTAGGAAAACATGGGAAACAAGGTCAGTATCAAATCTTATGCTCCATAGTCTGAGTTACGGCTTTGACTCTTGTCTAGATATCTGTCGTCCGGATGGTGAAGCGCAAGGCTCTCTCCCCTACCTCCCCTACCCGGGGTCTGTGACGAAGCTATAACGTCTCTGTACAGTGCTGAGGCGAAGATACTTCTTTTATTATTATTAAACAAAATTGGATACGTAATCAAAGTGTTGCTTCGCTATTCTATATGACAGTGGGAGCAAAAGCGAGCTGTTTCCGCTCTCATTTTCTGTCACGCAAGACGGGTTTTTACTATCATATTCCATCACACAGGATGGGTTGTTCTGTCATATTCCATCACACAGGATGGGTTGTTCTGTCATATTCCATCACACAGGATGGGTTGTTCTGTCATATTCCATCACACAGGATGGGTTGTTCTGTCATATTCCATCACACAGGATGGGTTGTTCTGTCATATTCCATCACATAGGATGGGCTGCCTTGTCATATTCCATCACACAGGATGTGTTTGATAAATAGTGTTGAAATCTGAGTATGTCTTCAAGTATTCCATTAAGGATTAAATAGCTATAAGAAATTCGAGGTGTTGTACCAGCAGCGCTGGAGTTACTATCACTTGGGAATTACCATCTCTCAGGATGACCTATCCCATACACAGGGAAAACAGAATTTATATGAAGATATCTATAACAACATCACCTAGCGGAGGTTAACACACATTATACACGAGACTGAAGGAAATGAGAATTTGGGAGAGAAATTTGGATCACCATAATACACACAACAAGTACATACATAAGAAAAGACAATAATATAAAAGAATGTAGTCATCGTAGACCTAAGAATACATACTACCCTCCTCCTCCCCTTCTACATTAGGATTCACTGAACTAGAGTAACTACTGTTGTAAGTTAAGTCACAGAATTAGAGTCGCTGCTACTGTGAGTCACTAAGAGTCACTACCACTACAGGTTAACATTCGCAGAACTACAGTCACTACCACAGTCACTGACATGAAGTTAAAACTCCGTCAACTGGCAGATCAGTGCACCTGTCAGATGACTGTTGTGTGTACAACCCTCGGGCGCCGCCGCGTTGGGATGTGCTGCTTGTACTCTGGGGAAACTATCGTCAACTCGGTTATAAACTATTACTGCTGTCTCAGCCAGACTGTAGCTGAGGACTGCAGTCTCTCTCTCTCTCTCGCTATCTCTCTCTTTCTCTCTCTCTCTCTCTCTCTCTCTCTCTCTCTCTCTCTCTCTCTCTCTCTCTCTCTCTCTCTCTACTGATCAATACCTATTCATACAGCTGTCTATTTATCTATCCACCAGTGATTTTCTATCCCTTTTCAGTTATCTATTTATCCTAACAGCGCACATTTTTTCTCTCTTTCATCAACATTAATAGTATTAATAACTCAGCCAGTCTTTATCCTTATTTTTCTGTCTCTTCCTGTTTATCTTCGCCTCCTGCATGTTCTCGGGTTTATCTCCTCTTCTTCTTCATCCTCGTCCTCCTGTTCCTCCCCTTCTCTTCTTCTTTCTTCTTGCATCTACTCTACTCTTTCTCTTACCTACAATAATTGCACATTTTATCCTCCACTTTCATGTGCCATCTGCCTTCTTCCTCACTCACCTTCCCCCCTGACACTCTCTGCCCCTGGCACCCCTGACACACTCTGCCCCTGGCACCCCTAACACTCTCTGCCCCTGGCACCCTGACACTCTCTGCCCCTGGCACCCCTGACACTCTCTGCCCCTGGCACCCCTGACACTCTCTGCCCCTGGCACCCCTGACACTCTCTGCCCCTGGCACCCCTGACACACTCTGCCCCTGGCATCACTAACACTCTTTGCTCCTGGCACCCCTGACACTCTCTGCCCCTGGCACCCCTGACACACTCTGCCCCTGGCACCCCTGACACTCTCTGCCCCTGGCACCCCTGACACACACTCTGCCCCTGGCATCACTAACACTCTTTGCTCCTGGCACCCCTGACACTCTCTGCCCCTGGCACCCCTGACACACTCTGCCCCTGGCACCCCTAACACTCTTTACCCCTGGCACCCCTAACACTCTTTGCTCCTGGCACCCCTGACACTCTTTGTCCCTGGCACCCCTGACACTCTTTGTCCCTGGCACTCCTGACACTCTCTGCCCCTGGCACCCCTGACACACTCTGCCCCTGGCACCACTAACACTCTTTGCTCCTGGCACCCCTGACACTCTTTGTCCCTGGCACCCCTGACACTCTTTGCCCCTGGCACCCCTGGCACCCTTGACACTCTTTGCTCCTGGCACTCCTGACACTCTCTGCCCCTGGTACCCCTGACACTCTTTGCTCCTGGAACCCCTGACACTCTCTGCCCCTGGCACCCCTGGCATCCCTGACTCTCTCTGCCCTTGGCACCCCCTGACACTCTCTGCCCCTGGCATCCCTGACACTCTCTGCCCCTGGCATCCCTGACACTCTCTGCCCCTGGAACCCTGACACTCTCTGCCCCTGGCACCCATGACACTCTTTGCTCCTGGCACCCCTGACACTCTCTGCCCCTGGCACCCCTGGCATCCCTGACTCTCTCTGCCCCTGGCATTCCTGACACTCTCTGCCCCTGGCATCCCTGACACTCTCTGCCCCTGGAACCCTGACACTCTCTGCCCCTGGCACCCCTGATACTCTCTGCCACTGGCACCCCTGACACTCTCTGCCCCTGGCATCCCTGACACTCTCTGCCCCTGGCATCCCGAACACTCTCTGCCTCTAGCACCCCTGACTCTCTCTCCTCCTGGTACCCCTGACACTCTCTGCCCCTGGCACCCTTGCCCTCCTCTCTGATGCCCCTGGCACCCCTGCCCTCCTTTCTGATGCCATTGGCACCCCTGCCCTACTCTCTGCCCCTGGCACCCCTGCTTTCTTCTGGTATTTCTGGCACCTCTTTACGATTCTCTGGTGTGCCTGGCACCCCTCTCTTTTTTTTATTTCCCTGGCACCTCTTCCCACTTCTCTGATGTCCCAGGCACTCCCTGACAATCTCAGGCCCTCATCAACCTTCCCTGACCCCTCTCAGGCCCTCATCACCCCTTCCCTGGCGCTATCACCGGCACCCTCTGGCACCCCCCACACA